TTGTTGATTTGAGGAGGAATGTTGGAAGATTAGGATGCCGATGTTGATATTTCAGCTCCTTGAAAATGCGATAATGAAATATGACCAGTTCCTCCCCTACGTTAAAGGGTACAGATTATCTGTTCAAGGCTATTTTATAACCATATGAAATAAAAAAGATAAGACATGGTTGACCATGAACTCAAGCATTGAAATCCTTTGATTTTTTTCTTCTTTTTCACTCATTTTTTTTAGAAAGCAAGGCATTTTCAGTATTTTATTACTATGTTTTATCACAGGAAAGGGAGATAAGCTGGAGGAAATAATAGGAGTTTTAATTTTATTTTATTTTTGTAACTATTTGTAACTATCTAAGCTATTGGTAGACTAATATGAATTGAATATTGCAGCCAGCAGTTTATTACGAGAGTAATTTTTTCAACCCAGTTTGTTATATTCATAATATTAGGATTCGAACCATTCATCTCAAATTTAATGTCTATTATGGGAGTGATTTGTTTTATACCTTTCCATGTTCTTTATTGCACCTAGTAAAATGTAACACTTCAATTGTATACTAACATGTCTTTCTTTTGATTTTTGAATGAAATGTTGATTCATGTTAAAGGATATTTTGGGTAATTATTGATAAATTAAGTTATTTATGGAAATATTGTTAAATAAATATAACAAATACATGAAAATTGATATTTTTATTTATAAAAGAATTGAAATTTTTATTTAAAATATTCCTATATGTTATTAAATTATATTTAATTAATAATTTAAATGATTTTTCGTTCAAATTTTCTCAAACTAAATTTAAATAAAAGAATTATTTTTTTATAAATTCTAACAGGAAAATATTGAAACTATTAATTATTCATTGTTTGATGATATGTGAAAATGTGTAAAGTAAAAGTTTTAAATAGTTTCTTCTCTGTTAATATTCTTTAATAGCATTAATGGAAGAAGTTATTTATATGATTTTTCTATGTATTTTCTCTTTAAAATTACATGAGTCCGTCCTCTTAAAAATGTGTTTGCCTCGTGAAGTTTCCTGGTCAAATTTATAGCTACGGCCGTATCATTTCTGAATTGCCTGATTTGGTCGATGGGATCATAACCCTCCCTCCTCGTCTACGTGTGACAGTTCTTTATTGTATTTTTTGAGTTGATACCAGATGACGTGGAGTTTCATTATACTACTTTGTAAGCCTGTACTAGTTTACAAGCTTTCAGGACTGTATGAGCCATTGAAAATTCACATCCTTGTATTACTACATGTCAAATGGACACGAGGAAAGAACACAACTTTTTGTGGATAATAACGTTAGCCAAATCATTTTAGATTATGACGATTTGCCAACAGCCTGTCTATATGAAATTATTGATGCAACTTCATTCTCGATTCATGTATTTGCACTACGTGTGCCTTCTGTCAATCACCAATAGTTAATTTCCCGACATATAAGCCCACAGCACAGTGTAAAGTTCTCCATTAATCACTTCACAAAAGAGATTAATTAATGTAACAAGTTTAAAGTTTGAATTAATCTCCTTATTTGGAGGCTATTGTTAATGATTTAACTTAGAAAAGGAATCTTCACCTTTATAATGGAATGATATGACATCATAATTTCTCGAGCTTCACAGCTTAGCTATTCTTTTGGTTACCCTTTTATGTACGAGGTCTCTCGACAATTTTTTTTTTAATTAAACGATATTAAATTGATTATCACTTGAATTAATCCGTTTACACACCTCATCAATTTTGAATTATTTTTCAATGTACGTCGTATGAAACACACACTTTAGGCATCCGGGGCTTTGTTTTTATATTTGTCGCCCAAGGAACTAAATATAAATAAATAAATGATTTGGTGTTTTGCCACATGCCAATTCTTTTCTCTTGCTGAAGTGCACTTCTTTGAGGGGGGGTTTTCTCTGCTTTTCAGCGATGAAATTCAGGAGTTTTTGTTTTTGCATCCCAGGATCAAAGAACGGAGCCAAGCAAGAAGATTCAGATAGTTCTTCTAACAAAGCAAAATCCCATGAAAAATCTGATAAAAGTGGGGAAAAGAAGGGAGATGTCGATGATGCTGGAATGACTGCTGTAGCGGGGGGTGCTACTACAGGAAATGCCTCCACCGCGGAATGAAGCGGCGGCTGCTGTAGCCCGACACCATTTGAAAAAACAGCCGGTTTGGGTTCTTGGCCTTTTTCTTGTCATATTGATTTCATAATCTTTCTTTTATCTTGTAAGCAAAGAGATGGACGAGTTGTTCTAGTTTTGTTTTATCTTTTTCATCTCTGTATTTTTCTTTTTCTGGTGTCTTGAGTTGATTGAGATTACTTGTTTTCATCTACCTTTGAACGTGTAATACTTCTTGTTTTAATTTCCAAATAAGATTCACAATCATTTGAATTCTTTCTTCTTCCCGGGGGTAGACCAAACACATTATTTAAAATACTTTATAAAAAAAATAGATGTACATACATATGCATGGTGTTCATGATGTGCAGGGACGAGTCGACAGATTAATTAGGGGTCGACATTAAATTATATTTTTTTGGAGGGACCAAAGGGTAGTTTTATCATTTTCCCAACGTAAAAAAATTTCAAATTATTAAGGGTTTTTAATGCGATATTCCCAATTTTGGGCCAAATCCACTACCTTCCTCTGATCTTGGGCAAGTCCAAATATACAGAGGCTTGTTTTTGGTAGGTTCCTTTTTATAGAAACTTGTCGGTTAAAATAGATGGATATAAAACAAACAAGGACCATAAGTGTCGAGTTCCATCATCCACACTATTAACAAAACCCTAAAATACAATAACGATTTAAAAAGAGACATGTCGAATATGTAGATATTTATTTTTGTTTAGTTACAAAACAAACCCATAAATTATTATAAAGCGATCAGTAAGTTCAATTGTGTCAAAAGCCCATGTATTAACCCAAGCAGTTAGGCTTCTCAACTTCTCTTCAAGCGTTGCACAACTAGAGCCGTATGATCTAGATCCACTCGACGGTCCAGATCAAGATTAGTTTAAGGTTTTCATGAATTTGAAGATAGGATACGCTCAGCCACACATCACCCATTCGATCTGGTTTTGGATTCAACTGTCCATCATCACTAAAATTAGGGTTTTACCCTAATCTCCAACAACGCCGCTCGTTCTCTAGATTTCTCCAAAAGCTTCGCGCATGTAACGCACGCGAGTCTTTCTGGTTGCTCCAATCGCCATAAATATCCTCGAGTTCCCACTCGCCCATATGTGGTCTTCCTTGCCACCTCAGCTGTACCAGAAGTTATCAGAATGAGCTTTTACCCCTCTCCCCATAGTAACAGTAACAAAGGGGAGGGTATTTTCATGTCACGAGATGACCTGCAAGAGGGAAAAAAAAAGACTTAGAAGATTTATTTTTATATCCGATTAATTATATGGGAAATCACTTACGTTTAGGTTTTTGTCTACTTTTAGTCATTAATTTAAAAAAAATTAAGAAATTGTCACTTTCGTTTCTATTTAATTAAGGCGTGACCACCCGAGTTAATTGTCATTAACAATAATTAAATATTTTGATATAATCACATATTTGGTCTATGTTATTTAGATATTCTCTCAATTTAGTATCACTTTTAATAAAATAAAAATAAATTTAATCATATTTTACAACTCGGAGTTGACTTAGAACTTTTTCGAGTCAAGTCGAGTTAAATTTTTCGAGTTTCTATTTAAATTTAATTATAAATATTTATGATATTATTTGATTCTAATTTAAATGATATTTTATAATCATATACAATACATGTGTATTTCTTTATATTTTTTTTCTTCATATGTGATATACATTTATGAAACAAAGTGGAGAGACACAACTCAAAAATCAATTCACTAATTACTAAAATTTTCAAGTTATTCGAGTAAAGTTTTCAAGAGTCGAGTTGAAAAAATCGGTTCTTCGAGTCGAATTTCGCTCACCCCTAATACCACATGTCATTATTCGATTGGAGGATTAACTTTCATAAACTCAACTCAACTTAAAAAAGTTTCAAGTTCAAATTGAGTTATAAAATACAATTCGGATAACTTGAAAATTTTAATAATTAGTGGACTGATTTTCAAGTTTAAGTTGAGTCTCTCGACTTTGTATAATAAATGTATACCACATATGGAAAAAATATGAAGAAATACATATGTATTGTATATGGTTATAAAAGATCATTTAAATTGAAATAAAATAATATCATAAATATTTATAATTAAATTTAAACAGAAACTCAAAAATTTGATTCGACTCGAGAAAAATTCTAAGACAACTCCGAGTTATAAAATAGGACTCGTCAACTCGCATAACTCGAAATTTTTTGACTCAACTCGACTCAGCTCGGTCGAACGCTCACCCCTACGTGACACAACATGTGACATCATTCGATTGGAGGATTAAATTTATTTTAATTTATTAAAGTATGACTAAATTAAGATAATATATAAATAACAAGAACCAAATGTGTGATTATTAACTACTGCTAATGGTAGTTAACATGGGATGACCACATCTTAATTAAATAAAAACGAAAGTAACCACATCTTAATTAACTAAAAACGAAAGTGACCATAACTTTTGTGTTTTGAAATCAATGATCAAAAGTGGATAAAATATAAACACAAGTGATTTTTCATGTAGTTATCCATTTTATTTTTGAGCGGTCAATCACATCGTAATCAAAGACTGATGGCGATTTCACGAATCGATTTTATTATTTTTTTAATTTAAGTCCCAAATTATTCGAGTTCACTTTTTAAAAAATCTCATTTTTAATCGACACTGATTTAAAAATAACGTCTCGACAAAATGAAATAAATTTTTATCATAATTGTCACATTCTAATAAGATGTTACCTGCCTAGATAATGAATAAAAAGTTGGACAAAATCCGTCATCAGTTATTTTATTTTATTCAATGAGGATGAAACAGCATTAACAAAACCTAGCAACCAGCAGAGTGTTTAATTATCTAGTTTAGTTTTCAAAGGTCGGATCTTGGGAAGAAAAACCCATTTGCTGTCAACCCACCATCAGCACAAATAATTTGTCCCGTTATGAAAGATGATGCTGGAAGGCAAAGGAATGCTACCAAATGGGCAACCTCTTCTGGTTCTCCAAGTCTCCCCATTGGTGTCCGAGAGATTACTGCTTCCACGAACTTACTGCTACTCAAAACCTGCAAACAAAAACCACTTCTCATTCCATATATTCATACATGTATATGTATGTATGTATGTATGTACATATGTATGTATGTATATATGTATACTGAATAATTAAGACATTACTGGTTCGGTAAGTGGGGTTCTAATGAACCATGGAGCAACACAGTTGGTCCTGATGTTGTATTTTGCCCATTCACATGCCAGTTCCTTTGTCAATTCGTTCATTGCTCCTGTTTAAACAAATTTCTAATTACAGATACAGGGTATTAATTCAACTAGGATATATTTTTAGTCAGTCTATTTACCTTTTGTTGATCCATACATAAATCCAACATTGATTGACCGTCGTTTTGTTATCAAAATAATTCATGACTTCTTAATAAATAAAAATGAAAATGTAGTATAGAGAAGCAGGGTCAATCCACATGGACTGTGGTATTTCCGATTTAATAAAACTCTTTCTTGATTTTAAAAAAAGATAGAATTCCAGATGAAGTTGAAAAGATATATTAAAAAAATATATAATAATAAATATTAATAGTAATAAATATAAAAGGGAGATTTTTTTTAAAAGTTGTGGTTAAGAAAATAAGAATTAAATAAAAGAAAAAAATTATTAAATAAACAAATTAAAGAGATTAAGATAAAGAGAAACTTATTGTGAAAGCAGCCTCAGACTTCAGCTTCGCCTCAAATTTCACGGATCATCGAAACAAATTTTTACTTCATGATTCACGTAAGCTTACAAGAACAATTCTTTGCTGCCAACTCGGATTGTGTCTTTTCAACAACAACTGATTCTGATCTTAGTTTCCTCTTAACAAACAATTTTGCTAAGTGTGTTATCGGGAAGTTGAATATGCTTCAATAAGCAAATCTTTCTTCAAACATTAACCATAACAATATCCGGACCAATTTCGAAATAGTTTTGATTTGAAAAGTAAGCTTCAGAAAACAGAGAGAAAATCCGAAGCGATTTAAATACCTTACAATTCTCACGTTTGGAATTGAGCCTTCGCTTTAGTCTTCGGCTTGAAAAAAAATTAGCTAAGCATAACCAAATTCATACTTAGCATAATAGAAAAGTATGCGAAAAATAGAGAGAAAGCTAGAGAGAAAAAGAAGATTTTATTCACAAATGAGAGAGATATGTTTCTAGGCTCACCCTTAGAGGGTATTTATAGTCTTCAAAATCCTAAAAAACAAGCTAAAACATCTTAAATCCTAATTAAAACACTTAAAACTATTTAAACTAAAATACCTAAAAAATAATATAATATTCTAAATCCTAATTAAAATACTAAAACCTATTTAAACTAAAATACAAAGATAAAGATAAAATATAAAAATAATATCCTAAAACTTAATTAAAATACTAAAAACCTATTTAAACTAAAATACAAAGATAAAATATAATGTTTAAAATATTATCCTAAATTTGAGTTTAATCCAAATCCGAATTCCAGTCAGTTTTGATTCCGAAAATAAAAAAATCTGCAGAATTTTGTCCTTTTTGTACAATTTCCATAGTCTTACGTTCTGTACAGAAAATGAATTAAAATGAACAAATAAGCCACAAAATCAATGATTAAAGAGTAATTTAAAAGTAAAATATTAACTAAATTAAGCACTTATCAAATTCCCTCTCACTTATTCAATGTTTGTCCTCAAGCATTCTTCAATTAACATATCAAAATCATAAGTTGTCATCTTCAATTTCAATTTATTCCTCAAACTTCCAATTGAATTAAGTCCATGACATTTGCCGAATTCAAGTTACAATCAAGCAAAGACATAACCAAGAAAATTTAAAGTAGGCAATATATCTCAATTAATTGCCAACTTCAATGAAACATGACTCAATACATCACAAAGATTCACATATATACGCTCAAAGTGTTTGGGGTTAATGAAATCGCTCAAACCGAAACTAACCAAAATATTACCATTGGCTTGGAATCCAATCAAGTCTCCACCACGAAAAATGAACATAATGCAATAATCAAGGGGTCTTTAAACAAGGTATAACGAGGCTTAGGTTAGGGTAGGGAAAGGACGAAAAGAAAGATTTAAAATACTGAAACAAGAGATCAAAATAATTAAGAACAATCCACGAATTAACATGAAGCGCAATGAAGAACAAAACAATGAAAAAGAATAGATGAAAGACAATTGAAGCGATCGATATTTTTTCCTTCCCTTCTTTTTCTCGAACAAAGGGTCTTTTTTTTTGCTGTTCGATACAGTGAACAACTTGTTTTTTTTTGAAACATTTGAATATTTTTTTATGGAACAACAATGATACAGGATCTCAAGTCTCGGTAAGGGTGTGAAAAGAGAGGAAAAAAAAGGCTTCGAGTTTAATTATGAGGTGTAAAAACAAAGAAAGGGAAATAGACTCAAATGTGGTTCACTAGTAGATATATAAATGGGTAGGTTTTTTGGGAAAAGTGGGTTTATCCTAGGTGCCCCTGTCACATTAAAACATTACATTCAACATGTAGTCTCGATATGCATTGTGATTACAAGTTATAGAATATCCTAATTAGTTCGGCACACACAAGTCAAACAATGAGCAAGAAAGAAAATGTATGCTCGTTAGGCTCAAATCTCACAAGAAAAGTTTATATGCATTGAGTCAAGTTCATCTCTATTGACAAAAGCATGAAATATCAATACTTAACAAAAAAATCACTAGTTATATCAATCACCAATCATGCAAATTAAATTCGATAAAAAACATGGTCATAATCCAAAAGGAAGCAAGAGTATAAAGTGAAATTTAAGACTAGCAACCAACGATTACAATATATCAACATCAGAATAACTCAATTTCAAATGATTAAACAAGTCAAGAAAAATTTGACACATACTTATCCTTCCCCCCTCACTTATTCCGTTTTGTCCCAAAACGTATATCAAATTTAAAAACAAAGAGAGGAAAAAAATTCTCCCAAATCTAGTGGAGATCACGGCCACGTCGAGACGAGCAGTTGTAGAGTAAACTGTCCGATGATGCACTGTTCTGTTCGAACTTTTCTGCACAATTCGAACCAAATCTGTTTTTTTTTCTGCACTTTGTTTTTTGTTAAATATTCGATCGAAATTCAGATATGTTCAGAAAAAATAAAATTAATCAAAATAAAATAAATAGAATGAAATAAATTTTGCTAAAAAAACGAAAATAAAAAAATAAAAACAAAAATATAACGAAATGGGTTACCTCCCATCAAGCGCTTTTGTTTAACGTCATTAGCTCGACGACCTGATTTTTCAAAGCGTGGGTTCCTCTAAATTGATTTCTTCGATTAGACCAATCGGAGTATTTTCATAATATGACTTCAGTCTTTGACCATTAACTTTAAATCGTACTCCTGAGTTATCTTCAATTTCAACAGCACCGTGAGGAAATACTTGAGTAATTGTAAACGGTCCGAGCCATTTTGATTTGAGTTTTCCTGCAAAAAGTTTAAATTTGGAGTTAAATAATAAAACCTTTTGACCGACAAAAAAAGTTTTAAAAGAATTTCTACTATCGTGAAATTCTTTTGTTTTTTCTTTAAATATCCGAGCATTATCATAGGCATTTCTTCAGATTTCCTCAAGTTCTTGAATGTGTAATTTTCGAGCTTCACCAATTGCATTCATGTCCATGTTACATTGTTTAACGGCCCAATAAGCTCGATGTTCTAACTCGACCGGTAAATGTCATGGTTTACCGAAAATAAGCCGGTATGGTGACATCCCAATGGGACCTTTATAAGCAGTTTGATATGCCCAAAATACATCGGTTAATTTTAAACTCCAATCCTTTCGATCCGGTTTAACAATTTTCTCAAGAATTGTTTTAATTTCTCGATTTGATACTTCTGTCTGTCCATTTGTTTGTGGATGGTAAGCGGTAGCAATTCTTTGAGTTACTCCAAATTTCTTCATTAGCGACTCGATTACTCGGTTGATGAAATGTGTTCCTCTGTCGCTTATTATAGGCCGTGGCGTGCCAAACTTGGAAAAAATATTTTTCAAAAAATTAACTGTAGTTTTAGCATCATTATTCTGAGTGGCTTTAGCTTCCACCCATTTAGAAACATAATCCACAGCTAAAATAATATAAGTATTTCCAAATGACGAAGTAAAAGGACCCATATAGTCGATTCCCCAAACATAAAAAATTTCACAAACTTGTATAGAATTAAGCGGCATTTCATTCCTACGGCTTAAATTACATGTACGTTGACATATTTCACAAGTTTTACAAAATATATAAGAATTCCAAAATATGTTAGGCCAATAGAAACCACATTCAAGAATTTTATGAGCTGTACGTTTTGGCCCAAAATGACCACCGCAAGAGTAAGAATGACAAAATTGTAAAATTGAGTTTACCTCACTTTCGGCAATACATCGTCGAATTACCTGATCCGAGCAGTGCTTCCATAGATAAGGATCATCCTAAATATAGTATCAGGATTCTCGCTTAATTCTATTGATTTCAGCTCTCGTCAAATCTAATGGTAACTTACCCGTGGCCAAATAATTAACCATGTATGCAAACCATGGAGTTATGTTTTGCGCCACCATCAGTTTTTCTTCAAGAAATTCTTCTCTAAGTGGTGGTTCGGATGTGGAAAGGGGAATTCGACTCAAGTGATCTGCTACCAGATTTTCGCATCCCTTTTTGTCTTTAATTTCCAAGTTAAATTCCTGTAAAAGCAGAATCCACCGAATAAGCCTTGGTTTTGCTTCCTTTTTGCTCATCAAATACCTTATAGCTGCATGATCAGAAAAAACAGTAATTTTAGTACCAAGCAAATAGGATCTAAATTTTTCTAAAGCAAAAATTATAGCAAAAAGTTCTTTTTCCGTTGTCGAATAATTTTTCTGAGCCGAGTCCAAAGTTTAGGATGCGCAGGCTATGACATGTGGCTCTTTCCCTATTTTTTGGCCGAGAACGACTCCAACGCTAGTGTCCAATGCGTCACACAGAAGTTCAAAGGGATGATTCCAATCTGGCAGCTTAACAATTGGAGCTGAAATAAACTTTTCCTTTAATGAATCGAAAGACTCTTTGCATTTTTGAATTAAAGTCAAAGTCTTGATCCTTTTGAAGTAGATTGCATTAATGTTGTGCTATCTTCGAAAAGTCCTTAATAAACATGCGGTAAAATCCTGCATGGCCAAGAAAAAAACGAATTTCCCTCACAGTTGTGGGGTAAGGAAATGAGCGTATAATATATGTTTTAGCTTTATCAACCGCAATCCCTTTTGAGGAAACAATATGACCTAAAATTAACCCTTTATCAACCATAAAATGACATTTTTCATAATTCAAAACAAGGTTATATTCTAAGCATCTTTTAAGCACATTAGTTAAATTATCAAGACATTCATTAAAAGAGTTACCATAAACCGTGAAGTCATCCATAAAGACTTCGATGCCCTTCTCCACATAGTCAGAAAATATACTTAGCATGCATCTTTGGAAGGTGGCTGATGCGTTACAAAGACCAAAGGGCATTCGTCTATATGCAAATGTACCGAAGGGACAAGTAAAAGTCATTTTTTTCTTGATCTTCTGGCACCACTGGGATTTGGAAAAAAACCTAAAAAACCATCAAGACAAAAATAATGAGTTTTCTCAGCTAATTTTTAAATCATTTGATCTATAAAAGGAAGAGGAAAATGATCTTTTCGAGTAAGAGAGTTCAACTTCCTGTAATCAATACAAACTCGCCATCCATTTTGAACTTTTTTTGGCACTAACTCCCCTTCTTGATTTTTCGACCACTGTGACTCTCGTTTTCTTGGGAACCACATGAATCGGACTTACCCAATTACTATCCGAAATTGGATAGATTACGTTAGCGTCAAGGAGTTTCTGAATTTCTTTCTTTACTATTTCCATCATCAGTGGATTTAATCGATGTTGTCCTTCACGTGATGACTTTGCTCCTTCTTCGACTTTGATCTTATGCATGCAAGTCGAGGGACTTAATCCTTTAATGTCGGCAATGGTCCATCATATGGCTTCTTTATGAGAGCGCAATATCGCTACCAAAGCTTCCTCTTCTCCTTTGGATAATTTACTTGAGATGATCACTGGTAAAGTTTCATTTTCGCCTAAAAAGACATATTTCAAATGCTCCGGTAATTGCTTTAATTCTACCTCAGGTGCCTGCAAAGCAGAAGGTAAAATTTTAGTTTTAGAGGAATATAAAGATAAATCAGAATTGATTGAATTAATATTTTCAAACACCCTTTCTTCATCTTCGTGGCAAAGTTCAGGATCCTTAAAAAGATCATAAGAAAAATTAGATTCAATATATTCATCAATTAAAGGATCTATAATATCAACAAAATTAATTCTTTCAACATGATCAGTGCATTTCATTGCTTTGTAAACATCAAATTCAATGATCTCACCATCAAATTCCATTGTTAGTATACCACTTCTAACATCGATCTTTGTATGTGCTGTGTTTAGGAAGGGTAGGCCTAAGAGTACCTCGGAATAAGAATCCGACCTATCATGTTCCATGTCAATGACATAGAAATCTGTAGGAAAGAATAATACATCAACCTTTACCAAGACGTTTTCCATTACTCTCACTGGATAGATCACAGATCGATCAGCCAACTGTATGGTTATTACTGTTTCCTATAAAGGCTCGTTAGTAATCATTTTATATATAGAAAATGACATAACATTAATTGAAGCTCCTAAGTCACACATTGCACGTTTAATTTTAAAATTACCTATTTTGCAAGGTATAACGAACATGCATTGATCCTTCATCTTTGGTGGGAGTTTTCATTGAAAAATTGCAGAAACATGTTCTCCAAAATTTACCTTTTCGTGTCCCGTTAATTTCTTCTTTGTAATGCAAAGTTCTTTTAAAAATCGAGCATACCTTGGTACTTGTCGAATTACTTCAAGAAGAGGTATGTTGACTTGAACTTTTTGGAAAACCTGTAAGATCTCCCTTTCTTCAGCTCTTTTATCACGCTTCATCAACCTTGATGGGAAGGGTGGTGGCGTGATTTCATGAGAAGAAAGAGAAGGATGTGAGTCAGACGTACCTTGTATTTCTGGAGGTGGCGTTTCCTCTTGTTCTTCTTGATGTGCGTCTTTTTCTACTGGAACTTCGGGTGAGATAACTTTTCCACTTCTGAGTGTGATGGCACTAACATTCTCTCTCGGATTTAACTCCGTTTGAGAAGGTAGTTTTCCTTGTGATTTCAATTTTCCCATAATTTGAGCTAGTCGACTTACTTGATTGTCTAACTCTTGAAGATGTGTTTTGGTTTGGTTTTGGAATTTTTCTTGGGATACAATGAACTTTTCTTGTGAAATTGCTAACTTTCCTATGAGTTCCTCCAATGATGAGTTTTGCGTTTGTTGTTGAGGAGGAAGCCTTTGTTGATAAGTTGGTCTCTGAGTTGTCGCATAGCTGAAGTTTGGGTGGTCTCGCCATCCTGGATTGTAAGTATTGTTGTATGGGTTGTATTGTCTTTGTGGAGGACCTGGAAAGTTCCCTACTGCATTGATTTCTGCATTGCCTCTTTCTTGTATCAGCGGGCAACAATCCGTCGGATGGTCTAGCTTTGTGCATATCTCACATGCTCTTATTGCTCCAGATTTATCTAACTTATTTTCAAGGGAAAATGTACTTATCTCGTGAACCCATCGGCTGGGTTCACTCGAAAACTGTTGAGAGTTGGCTGCCATTGTTGAAATCAATTCCCTTGCTGTTGTTGGGGTCATGTTAACTAATGCTCCTCCACTGGCGGCATCCACCATTTTCATCTCCATTGGTAAAAGACCTTCATAAAAGTATTTAAGTAACGTTTGCTCACTTAATCCGTGTTGCGGACAACATGCGCAAAGCTTTTTAAATCGTTCCCAATAGTCATAAAGACTTTATTCGCTCTTTTGCTGAATGGAAATAATGCACCTTCGCAACTTGCTTGCTTTAGCCGCTAGAAAGAACCTGTCAAGAAAAATTCGATTCATGTCAGCCCATGAATTAACTGAATTTAGAGGTAAATAAAATAACCAATCTTTAGCCAAGTCAGATAAAGAGAAAGGGAAAGCTCTCAATTTAATTTGATCATCGGTAACTCCCAGTGGTTTCACGCTAGTGCAAACCATGTGGAATTCTAACAAGTGTTTGTACGGATCTTCAGTGGGAAAGCCGTGGAAAGTGGGAAGAAGATGAATGAGTCATGTCTTTAATTGAAACGGAGTCCCGCCACTAGGAAAATTAATGCATAATGGCGTCTGAGTGACAAGAGCTATGGCTAGCTCTCGGATCGTTTGTTCTTCTTCTGCCATCAGGATGTTGTATGCGTCTGCTTCAGAGTCTGTCTCTGGAATTGATTCTGCTTCTGAACTTTTCTCTTGTTCTTCTTGTCTTTTTCTCTTTTCTCGAAGCGTTTGTGCATGGATTCTTCGTGCTCGTGCTTCGATCTTTGGATCTAAATCTACTAATTCACTTGTATTACTTCTGGTCATAAATCAAAAACAAGAAAAATAAATCAGTACTTGTCGTTAGTCCCCGGCAACGGCGCCAATTTGATAACCGTCGTTTTGCTATCAAAATAATTCCTGGCTTCTTAATAAATAAAAATAAAAATGTAGTATAGAGAAGCAGGGTCGATCCACAGGGACTGTGGTGTTTCTGATTTAATAAAACTCTTTCTTGATTTTAGAAAAAAATATAATTCCAAATAAAGTTGAAAAGATATATTAAAATAAAAAAATAATAATATAATAATAAATATTAATAGTAATAAATATAAAAGGAAGATTTTTTTTAAAAGTTGTGGTTAAAAAAATAAGAATTAAATAAAAGAAAAAAATAATTAAATAATCAAATTAAAAAGATTAAGATAAAGAGAAACTTATTGTGAAAACAGTCTCAGACTTCAGCTTCGCCTCAAATTCCTTGGATCATCGAAACAAATTTTTACTTCAAGATTCACGTAAGCTTACAAGAACAATTCTTCGCTGCCAACTCGGATTGTGTCGTTTCAACAACTGATTCCGATCTCAGTTTCCTCTTAGCAAACAATTTTACTAAGTGTGTTCTCGGGAAGTTGAATATGTTTCAATAAGGAAATCTTTCTTCAAACATTAACCATAACAATATCCGGACCAATGTCGAAATAGTTTTGATTTGAAAAGTAAGCTTCAGAAAACAGATAGAAAATCCGAAGCGATTTAAGTACCTTACAATTCTCACGTTTGGAATTGAGCCTTCGCTTTAGTCTTTGGCTTGAAAGAAAATTAGCTAAGCATAGCCAAAGTCATACTTAGCATAATAGAAAAGTATGCGAAAAATAGAGAGAAAGCTAGAGAGAAAAAGAAGATTTTATTCTCAAATGAGAGAGATATGTTTCTAGGCTCACCCTTAGAGGGTATTTATAGTCTTCAAAATCCTAAAAACAAGTTAAAACATCTTAAATTCTAATTAAAACACTTAAAACTATTTAAATTAAAATACCTAAAAAAATAATATAATATTCTAAATCCTAATTAAAATACTAAAACTATATAAATTAAAATACAAAGATAAAGATAAAATATAAAAATAATATCCTAAAACTTAATTAAAATACTAAAAACCTATTTAAACTAAAATACAAAGATAAAATATAATGTTTAAAATATTATCCTAAATTTGAGTTTAATTCAAATCCGAATTCCAGCCAGCTTTGATTTCAAAAATAAAAAATCTACAGAATTGTGTCCTTTTTATACAATTTTTATAGTCTTACGTCCTGTAAAAAAAATGAATTAAAATAAATAAATAAATCACAAAAATTAATAATTAAAAAAAATTTAAAAATAAAATATTAATTAAATTAAACACTTATCAACAAAAACAAAAACAATGCTTTCAGATCCCGATGCTTTCAAAAGGGGATAAGCAAGCTGGCAGAAGTGGAACGCCGACTCGAAATTGGTACTCAACAGAGTTGACACTTCTTTAGCTGTATGTTTCTCAGTTGGTTTCCAAATGTTCGTCCCAACATTGTTTATCTACAAAACTTCAGCTCATGAAAAACTTTGTATTCGGATGCCCAAGTACGTTTGGGCATATAACACAAATGTTCCAGCCAGCTGTTATCGAGAAATTTTAAATTTTTATATAATTTAGATATTTTTTTTTATATTTTTTATTAATAGTATACTTTTTTCTCTAAAATTTTATAAATATATTCTATAAAATATTATATGTACCCTTAATATAAAATTCTGTGTCGGAGACATCTAATAAAAAATGAAGAATAAGACGATATTCTTGGAAAAAGAACTTAAGCTTACAAGGATATTAAGTTTGGCCTCAAACATGTAGGAAACATTGTTGATCATAGTTTCCCTTTCAGCTGGAAAGGTTACATCACAGACCGAACCAGAAACTTGAAAACCCTTGATCTTCCATTGCTGCAAGCACTCATTGAGCTGATTTTGGTTGCGACAGCACGTGTAAACAGTTGCCCCCAGCGCTGCCAGTTCTTCCACAATAGCCAACCTATAACACCGTTTACCAGTATTAATTGCAGACACATAAATATTTCAACTGATCAAACAGGAAAGGTTGATCAAACAGGAGATGGTTACCCAATTCCTTTAGTGCCACCAGTGACAAGAGCGGTTGTTCCTCTGAGAGACCACTGGCTTAAACTTGAAGATGAATCCTTTACCATGAATTGTCAACAACTTGATGAAAACTACCCAGGATAAGTGCTATATTATTCAACAACTATTAGGTGGCTAGGTATGTTACGCGACAAAAAGTTGTAATATTTGTTGAATAGTCAAAATTCAGGGCTAATTCAATGTTGATATTTTGCTGCAGCCGCCGTGAATTTGATGGTTCAAAGTTGGTAGCAGATTTTGGTTGAAAATTAATAAGGAAAAATTACTAAATTTAATCTTTGTATTTTAGAGTATTTACAAGATTAATACTTAAGCTTTAACTATAAATACTCTAACTCATTTAGCTTCAAAACTATCCCATGTCATTTTAGCTTTCTCCCAATACTAAAGAAATTAGAGAGTTTTCTTAATAGTTGTTTTCTCTTTTTTATCAAGAGAGAATTGTCATTGTTTTCTTCTTGTTAGATTGAGAGAAGTTGTAATTCCTATTTTATCATAGTGAAATTCTTCTACCTTTGCCCTTGGTTTTTACCATATATTATTTAGGGGTTTTTCACGTAAAATTTATTTTCTTTATCTTTATTTTAATTTTCTCAAATTATCAATTGCGATTTTGCTCTATTCAATAACCGATTCTGCATCAATATTGTTATCTACACTACGAAGCTGGATTACAAGTTGGCTTTGGTTTTATGTATGCAAGCTGCACTTAAAATTTTGCTAATATAAATAATTTATGCCCCAAGATTTGGTATATTTGTTGGAAAACAAGCGCACGGCTACATTTGTTAGTAATCAAATTTGTACACGGTATGTTGTTGACAAAATAAATTGGGTAAATTACACTGGTGATCACTTAACTATTGTCATATTATATTTTGCCCATCAACGTTTTGATTTAATCAATCAGATCACTTAACTATTTAAATGATTCAATCAAACCACATATTGTTAACATTTAACGAATTAGGAGACGCGGTAGTTAAAAAAATTTGGTATAATTACACAATTAGTCCATGTTACTTATATATTCTTTTAATTTTGTCCTAGTTTTAATAAATTAAAATAATTTTAATCATCAAATCAAGAGGCGCCATATGTCATTGGTGATATGTGTCATCATTCGATTGGAGGACTAAATTTATTTTTAATTTAATAGATTTATTTTTCTCCAATCAGAGGGTGGCACGTGTCACCCTCTAATTGAAAAAAAAAAAATCAAAACACAAGGGGTAGGGGGAATCGAACTAAGGACCCCTTTAGTGAGGTAGCAAGCACTAAACTATTGTCTTGGCTCAATGGTTTGGTGCTGCTACATCACTTTAGGATTCCATGGTTGGATTCCTCTTGTCCCCTTGTATGTTGATTTATTTTCTTTCAAGAGTCTTCCAATCGAATGATGACATGTGTCATCAATAACACACGAGACCTTTTGATTTTAAGGGTTAAATTTATTCTAATTTATTAAAATTAAGACTAAATTGAAAGAATATATATAAGTAACATGAATCAATTGTGTAATTATATCAAAATGTTTTAATTTTCACGTCACCTACTCCGTTAAATACTTGATTGAAATATTTAAATAGTTGAATGGTTTAATTGATCAAACCAAAACATTAATGGTCAAAATGAAAAGAGACAATAATTAGATGATCAATGAAAGTTTATCCAATTAAATTTTTGACATGTCATTTTAAATGAATGATGATGTATAGAATTATATGGCGTTAATATACAAAATATAATAGTTTCAAAAGGTATAGTAAATATAAATCTTATAAAAAAATACGGCGATGCTGTTGAACCACTATCCATAACTAAGTGGTACTGGATGGAGTTTACTCTTTCTTTTATGTCTGAATTTATTGATTCGTACTTTTGAGTTAATGTTATCAACCAAGAATCGAACGAGGTTATGAAAAATTATTTTAATGGAATTATTTGAAGATATGTGTAACACCCTAATCCTATACGATATAAAGTCAACCAATTAAAATATCATATGAAGCCATCATAGTTATTAACCTAAAAGAATTTCCTTGAAACCATTGTAAAACCATAGTTTAATGACCATTAAGTATAACGTAATTTAACATAATCATTGAAGTTTATAAAGGGGAGCTCCCAAAATATACATATGACAAAATAATAAAATTGAGTATCAAAATAGAGTTACGACTCAAGTACATGAAAGTCTATGAATAATACATGCCCTTTAGACAAAAGACTCAAGACGTACTCTTCTATTGCTCGAATTGCCTGGAACGTCAACTGCGCGATAACTCATCGAATACTCCTCCTAAGGACCTGGGCGCGGAAACAAATTCTGAATACTAAGCTCACTAGCATAGTGCCACACTAACAACTAAACCATACTAAAAATGTTCATTAAATGCTCATGCTATCGAGTGCAATAAAGAAAGTGAGTATACTCGTATACTACACACTACTCTAGGGTAGAAATTATGGTGTGGTCAGAGGGTTACACATCTCAGGACACACACCCCTCTAGCCTACCTAGGGTGAGGTTCGAAATCTCTGCATTGGACACAACACCCTACTAACCCACCCCTCACCAGTATTTAGGCCTCGCGCCCTAGTTAGTCTCAAAGTGCCTCACACACTTGCTTAAGGATATCTGAATACTCTATACCTCGAACTATCATCATCTACTAAAGTAACTCGGGTGTCTTGATCGTTTCTCGAGTATAAAAAAGGCTAGTTTTATGTCGTCCTAGTTGATATTGTTTCTAACTATAATTGTATATTAGCAGGGTTCTCACTTGTGGTTAGGGGTGTAAACGAGTCGAGTCGAGCTCGAGTATTGCTGAGCTCGACTCGACTTGAAAACTCTGAAATGGAGCTCGACTCGACTCGAAAACTCGCGAGCTTAAAATTTTCAAGCTCGACTCGAACTCGAAATCCTAAACTAAAGCTTGTGAGCAGCTCGAAAAGGCTCGAAATGAAAGAAAAATTCTTAAACTTAACTCGATTGAAGCCTCAAACTCGGACATTAACCTTAAATACATGAAATCTTACTGTATTTAAAAAAATCAATACATAAATATTAATATTATTAATAATTTATTTAAAAAAATAAAAACTTAATATATTATATTTTCGAGCTGCTCACGAGCTTTTTGAGTCGAATATCGAGTAGCTCGTTAAGAACTCGAGTCGAGTCAATTTGATCCGAGTATTTATCGAGCCTTGATCGAGTCGATCTCGAGTAGCTCGCGATCTGTCTCGTCTCATTTACAACCCTACTTGTGGTTTTATTGGATGGTGTTCTAGTGTCATTGGGTCAATAAATATCATTTATAAATCCCTTGGGTTTCTTTCCCAAAAATGTGCGATGGTATCGATACTGAGCCTCTTTAGTATTGGTACTGACCCATGAGTATCGATACTCGCCCTTGGGTATCGATACTTACACGGTGATTACAAGTTAATAAATAAGGGTATCGATACTCATATTCCATTATTGATACTCCTGAGCTAGGATATCCATAGTATCTAGAGTACCGATACCGATGTTTTGAAAAATACCACAATATTGATACCCCTATTGGGAGTATTGATAATCTATCTTCAGTATCGATACTCCCATGAGTACTGATACCAAAATGACCTACTAAAATATGCTACGTGTGCTCGGTATTGATACTACCCTGTGAGTATCGAAACCCGACTAAAAGTATCAATACTTTTTGGATGAGTATCGATAATTTCCTTCCCAAACTCTCCCATTTTAAGCTAGTTGATGAACAATATCGATACTCGACGTTAGAAATGCCCTATTTGGTCACGAAAATGACTTCCAGATCCACCTCAAAATCCCTACTAAGGTTCTCAAACATTCTTAAAGTTTTTTTTAGAGAAAAGACGCGCCTCATTAAAAACTCCTTCTAGTCCTAATAAGGGGAAAAGAGTGCCCAAATTATATTACCGGGAAACCATGTCAAAAGATACATCAGATGCAATTATCTCAGGACAAATCGAGTCAAAGAACAAAGTGCTACCCGACCGTAGTGCCCAGATAGCCAAAGTATGTGCTACCTTATTGCACTCGCATCGTACGAACTGAATTAAAAATGATGCATTACAGTCAAACAAATTATGGGCTTTCTGTAACTGAAATTCTGTTGTGGAAATATCAAGTGATCTATCCTGGATCTTGTTCACCACCATAGCAGAATCAGACTCAAATACCACATTCGTAAAGTTTTATGTATGAAAGAATGGGCCATAATAGGTTTTAAACATGCTCAAAACACCAAAAGATTGAATATACCATGGATGCTCATCCATGCTTAATAACTAAATGCTCATTAGCTAGATACATTCTAATGACTTGTATGAAGGAGTTGTGAATGTGTTACCTTAGTTTCCTAACTGTTGAAAATGTTTTCAAATCACCAAATGGTCAATTTCTTTTTTCCTTTAGCCTTGGAGCTTTGTCCCACCTTTTTCACTAATCAAAATCAAGGGAAATGAGTTACTAACTCATCTAGGGGATCAAAAAGATTCAAAATACGATTTTAATTCTCTAAAATTGGATTTGGAGTGCTAAGGAAACCGAAAATCCAAAACTCATTTTAAACCCCCACCTAAAGCGTTTCTATGGCCAAAAATTATAATATGTGGCTTGAATGAAAGCTTGAGATGTTGGGATTTCGTTTCTTACCTTAGAAAATTTGAAATGTGATTGAAAGTCTACAAGTTTCCAATTTTTCTCTATGTTTAAAAGAGGAAGAACTATTAGAATGGAGAAGATGAAGGTAAGGGACAAAGAAAGCTAGAAATGAGTGGAAATGGGGAGTGGGTAAGCAAATTACATCATCAACATTAAAACCAAATAAGCCTTTGCTTAAAATAAAGGTAAAATTGCCCTTTTGGTCATTTCTCTTACACTCAACTATTAAAATGCCCCATCTTGTAACATTTGGGCCTAACCCAAGCCCAAGTTCATCCTTAACTTAGTCTAAGTTTCACATAGATCTAATGGGCTTGACTAAATAATCTTGGGTTGGCCAGAAACTAT